GTTGTGCTGCTGCCCGTACGAGGACGCCAGCAGCGGCGGCGACTGGCCGTACTGCTGCTGCTGCTGCTGCTGCTGCTGCTGCTGCTGCTGCTGATTGTGCTGGTTGATTACGTTCTGCTGCCGCTGCCGCCTCTGCCCCGCCGCCGACGCCGTCGTGCTGCCGCCCAGCAGGCTGCCGTCGTCTGTGAGGGTGAGCGACGGCATCCCGCTGATGCGCGACGCGGCGCCACCGGACCCGAGGCGGCTCAGCCCGCCGGAGCCGTCCCCAGGGTCCTGCAGCGCTATCAAGTCCCCGCTGCCCCCGCCGCCGCCGCCGCCCTGCCCCCGCCGCCCGCCCGACGGCGCGCGCGCCAGCCCGCCGCGCCCGCCGCCCGCGCCCGACGTCGACGCCTGCATCGGCACTGTCACCCCTTGCCGCCCCGTCGCCGCGCTGCTGCTGCTGCCGCCGCCGCAGCCGTAGCCATAGCTGCCCGCGCCTGAAAGCAGGCCGGATGGCACCTCTGACAGCAGCCCAGGCTTCTCAACCAAATCCACCCGCCAGTCGCGCCCCTCCAGCCGCACCACCACATCCGCCCCATCGTCGCTGCCCGTGTACCCCGCGCCGCGCAGCAGCTGGCACTCGAGCCCGAGCGCATCTGCGAGCACCTTGAACAGCAGCGCGCGGTGCCGCGCGGCGCCGACGCGTAGCTGCCCGATGAGCAGGATGACGCTGCGAGACGAAGCCTTGACCGCGGCGCTCGCGTCCAGGTGCGCGCGGCGGAGGCGCTCGGGGTGCGCGTAGGGGCCGCCCAGGTGCTCGGCCACGAGCGTGGCGAGCGCCTGCACGCGGTCTGCGTCCCCGTACGGGGCAACCTGCGGCGGCAGATGCGCGGCGTGGCATGGGACAGCACAGTGAGTCGTGAGGCTGCACGGCACCCCTTCAGCTTTCAGCCGTGGGCTCACGCCCCCTGCCGCTCTGGAGAGCGGCAGCCTGGCGCAGCCGCTGGAATCCTGGGCAGCCCCGGCGCAACACGCCGCGCCCCGCAGCCCGCCGCAGCCGTCCGCGCTGCCCGCTCTCGAACCCCTGAATGTGTGCACGCCCGCCCCCGCCACCTGTGCGAGTGCGTCCTCCGCCAGAGATTCAATCCTGTTGAGGCCCTCATCCAGCAGGCGGTTGACCAGCATCACCTGATTATACCCAGCAAAGGCGCGGCGCACCACGCAGCCGAGGGTGGCGAGAGTGGGTGCCGCCGGCGGGGTGCGTGCGCGTGTTTGTGCAACCGCCGCACTCGCCGCCGCGCTGATCGGCCTGCGCAGGGCGGCTGCAGCTGCGGTTCGGCTTGGCGTCAGGCCCGCGCCCCGCGTCCTCCCGCAGCCGGTGATGCAGCGGCCACTCCCCTGGACAGCCCACTGGAGCCCACCGGAGCGCTAGTGGACGGCCGCTGCGGCCGCTGCCGCCGCCGCCCTCAAAACTCCGCCTGCCCCTGCCTACGGACCCAGCCCCGCGCCCCGACGTGCCCCGGGGCCGCAGTTCGGGGCCGCTGCGGCGCGCCTCACCTCCCGCGGGTCTCCCTCAAACAGCTGCACGTGCCTCAGCGCGGCCAGTGTGGGGAACTCCCCGCGCTCCACTATCTCGGGATAGTCCCCCCACACGTCGTAGAACCCGTCGCACAACAGCTCGCCGTAGCTGAGCCTGCGGAGTGCGCAGCACAGCAGCGGCGGCGGCGGCGCGGCTGTTGAGAGGGCGCGAAAATGCCAGCGGAGGGGGCTGCGTCGGCAGTGACAGGGCAGGCGCCCCTGCACGGGCCGGCGCACCTCGAGCCGAGCGGGTGGGGTCCGCTCGGGGCCGGACGCGGCGCGCGCGGCCGACCAGCCCCGCGCGCGGCAGCCGCCCCCCTTTCCCCCGCACCTGCATGTGACCCAGTACTTCTCTGACAGCTCCAGCGCCGCCGCCGCGCCCATCGCCGAGGGGAAGCCGCCGCCGCCGCCGCCGTTTCGCTGGTACTCGTTTGCGCTGGTCGCGAGCGCTACAGACACGAGGTAATCCTCCTGGGCGATCTCAAAGTCGTGCACCGGCTCGTCGTCGTCATCTGTATAGTCTGAGCCGGAGTCCGTACGGTGGGGTAACGCCGCGGGCGGCGGCGGCGGGGGCGGCGGCGGCGGAGCGGCCGCGGCCGCGGGCGGCGCGGGGGCCTCGCTGGAGCCAGCCTGTGGCGCATCGCCCTGTGCGCGCTGCTCCTTGCGCCGCTTGAGCCATTTCAGGGCCATCGCCCTGGGGACGCGCGGCAGGGGCGCGGCCGATCGCCGTGGTTGCCAGCCAGCCGGGCGTACGCGTGTACGTTGGGGACGCTGCGCGCAGTGAGCGCGTCACGCAGAGCGCGGCGACCGCGGCGGGGCCCCGCCGCGGGTGGTTGGGGGTGCCGGAGGCCGGCCTGCGCTTTTTGGAGGCTGTAGATGCCACAGGTGATATCCCAGACCAGGGGCACGCGGGACGCGGGGCTGTTTTCAATAGCAAGCTGCAAGATGAGCGATGTGCCTCCGAGCACTCGACGCTCAGGCTGAGGCTATAGCCAGACAAAAACTTATCAGTCTAGCATGTTTCTGACGGCGTGAGCAGGCGCTCTTCGGTCACTCTGCGCGCTCGGGTCCTTCCTGCAGCTGCTCTGTGCTCGATCGCCTTCGCGCTCTTTATCCAACTTGCAGTTTTGCTGTCTTGTTGGTTTCTCTGTGATTTCTGCATACAGATTTCTGTTACCTTGCTCGCCCGCACGACGGGAAGGGACCAGCACAGCAGCAGCACAGCACACGCACCCAGCACTAGCCCGCCCCGCGGGACGCCCCTCCGGGGCCAGCGTCGGCCGCCATGTCTTTCAAGTCCAGCGATGACTTCAAGAGGCAGAAGGAGCTCGATGAGGCCCGTAAGGCGGGCCTGGCGCCTGCCGAGCTCGACGAGGATGGCAAGGAAATCAACCCGCATATCCCCCAGTACATGACCAACGTGCCGTGGTACTTGAACAGCACACACCCGACGCTGAAGCATCAGCGCAACTGGAAGGGGACTGTCGAAGACAGCAAGCAGTGGTACGACCGCGGCGCAAAGGTCTTCCAGGCCACCAAGTGGCGCAAGGGGTCATGCGAGAAGTGAGTGGGGGCTGTGTGAGGCAAGGGGCCAAGCTTATAGGGACGGGAGCGCAGGCATGCGGGTGGGGGCCTCCTGCAGGCGCTGGCGCACAGCAGTGCACGGTGTGTGCGGCCGCTGCTGCTGCTGCAGCAGCCTGAGTGCCCTCGCGGCACCGCAGAACGCGGCTGGTCACGCGCATGCAGCAGCACTTGGTGTGCGGCAGCCAGCACAGCGCGGCCTAAGCGCACGGGCGGACAACGGCCTGCGACGCCCGTTGATGGACGCCGTTGTCTGACCGTTGGCTGCGGGACGGCGCGCAGCAGGGCTGCCCTGTGTCGGCGACGCGCGCCAGCAGCCCGTGCAGCAGTGCGGAAAGCCACGCGGGCCCGACGCCCGGCCCCTCGGTCTGGCCTCCTGACCCGGCTCCCTATGCTCTGTGTTTCTCCCTCGCCCGCGCCTGCAGTTGCGGCAGCATGTCTCACGCGACCAAGGATTGCCTCGAGCGGCCGCGCTCCAAGGGCGCCAAGTGGACGGGCAAGGGCATCGCGGCGGACGACAAGATTGAGGAGATTGTGATGCCAAACTTTGAGAGCAAGCGCGACAGGTGGAACGGGTATGACCCCGCAGAGTACTCAAAGGTGCGCGGCGGAGGGGGTTGGGGGACGGATGCTTTCTGCTGCGCGAGTGCGATGCCGCGAGCCGTCAGCGTGGGCAGCAGGTTGGCGGGCTGCGGCAGCCAGCACGAAATCCTGCACGTTGTCGCCCCGGGCATGCAGCTGGCTCACAGTACGCGCCCAAACAAACACGCATTTGGTGCTTCGCCATCACTTGCATCCCCATTACACACATACACACACACACACACACACACACATGCGCGCGCGCACGCATGCGCCCGCGCGCACGCACGCTTGCACGTAACTCCACAACCTGTCCAAATCCTCGGCGGTAACCTACCCTGCACGCACCCCATCAACCCCCCCCCCACCAGGTGGTAGACCGCTATGAGAAGATCGAGACCCTCCACAAGGAGATGAAGCAGAAGGAGCGCGTAGAGCAGCTCTACAGCGGCGTCCCCGTGGAGGGCGGCGGCGCCGACGGCGCCGTAGCCACCAACGGGGGCGGCGCTGACGGCGCCGCGGCGGCCGACGGAGCCGGCGCGGACGCTGACGAGGCGAAGCTGGACGAGGCGGAGGAGGCGGCGTTCCAGGAGGTCAAGAAGCGCGCGCGCACGGCGGGCGGCGGCAGCAGCGGCAGCGTGCGCAACCTGCGCATCCGCGAGGACACGGCCAAATACCTGCTCAACCTGGACGTGAACAGCGCCCACTACGACCCCAAGACGCGCTCGATGCGCGCGGACCCGCAGCCCAACAAGCCCGCGCACGAGAAGACGTTCTTCGGCGACAACTTTGTGCGGACGAGCGGGGACTACCAGGCGTGGCAGGCGCTCAACCTGCACAGCATGCAGGCCTTCGACAAGGGGCAGGTGCGCGGCGGGGGGAGGGCGGTGCGGGCGGCGCGACCGCGACCTCGCTGCGTCGGCATGCACAGCACGCGCAGCCAAGGCTGCTGTTTGCTACGCCTTTGCCAGCACCTCCTTGCCTGCAGGTCGGATGCAACCCCTGGCGTGGACGACTCCAAAGTCACGCCCACAACGCCTGCGGAGCTCTTCTCACCGTTCCACGCGCGCGCGCACGCGCATCCCCGCCCCCCCCCCCCCAAACACCAGGACATCCACGTGCAGGCGCTGCCCAGTTACGCTGAGATGCTGCACAACAGCTTCAAGGCCAAGAAGGACGGCCTCACCAAGAAGAGCACCGCGGACATTGTGGCCAAGTACGGCAGTGCAGGTGCGCCGCCTGCACATGGGGGGATTGCGCGGCGCCGGCTCGCCTGCGGCGCAAGCGGCAGCGAGGGGTGGGCATCCGCCTGGGGCGTTGGCGCGGCGGCCGGTTTTTTCCTCCCCCACGCTCCGCCCTGTGTGAGTGTGGTTGGCGGCGCCTTTGTGAGGCATGCACAGGGCTGGCGTGAACCTGACCTTTGTCTCGTGTACCCCGTGCTGCGGCTGCCTCCCTCTCAGCGGCCAAGCCCGGGGAGGAGGAGGCGCTGCTGCTGGCCCAGACGGAGCACTATGTGGAGTACGACCGCTCGGGGCGTGTCATCAAGGGCCAGG